GTTTCGCCAATATTGTTTGCAAAAAATACAAAAACAGGACATTTCATTTCAGCACCCAAATGAAATATTTCAATTATGCTTTTATCAGAAATGAAAGGCGGACACTGAATGTTCAATTAAAATTCGTTTTGATCATCGATGCTCGTAAAGCAAAGCACATTGCTCTGATGTGCATCGTTAGCAAAATTGAAATATATTCTCGAATATTTTAACATTATGAAAAAATGAAATATGAGAATTATAAGAATTAGTTTCACATCACATTACGATATTCACATTATATTACAACTCAATGGATGTTCATCACACTTGCTCAAACATTTTACTTCACACAATACTTCTCTCATATTGCCAGTAGCAATACTTTTTCATATACAAGGCTCATCACGCGATCTGTTCGTGAAAAGTTTTCGATATTTCATTCCAATAAAATTCAGAAAATTTGGCACATTAATCACATTATAAAGAATATAAGTTATCGAAATGAATACATAATATATTTGATACAGCAATATGCTTTAGTATTGAAAAATTCTCAAATTGAAGATAAATTTTATCTCGAAATTTGAACAAAAAATTAATACGCCACTTCATGGCTAATTGAATTCTGTCTCGCCGTCCACATGAAAATTTGATAACACAGACATTTGGAAATTAGTTATAGAATAATGTTGATACTGGAGTAGTTCTGATTTGAACAGTGAAATGTTCAGTACTTGGGATGTGAAAATAAAGGAATGACACCTGATCCTCAATATTTCACTCCACTTTTTGGCCATTCTAGGATCTGTGTCTGAGGAAGGATGTCAAGTTTCATTGGTTTGCTTAATCATGCTGAGATATCAAATTGGATTAAATATCCATCCTAATATTAATGGTCATTTTTCCAACCAACAAGATTCGCCAGTCTCAGATGGGTATCAGAACAGTCTGAAGTTAGTCTTAGAGCAGTCTAAGTTTTAGCAGAAACTAACGTCAAAATGTTTCAAGTTCCGATTTTCGAGAAGTATTCAGTGAGCCTCGGAAATAATGTGATTTTGGGAGATTACAATGTCAATCTTAAACGAATTATTGATCGACGTCTTAAATCAGAAATGTCTTGCTATACAGGCTAATTACATGTCGTTATGTGGTGTTTTTTTATGTTCTGGTTCCCACGAAAAGGGTTATCCTGTAATATTCAGAGAACATCGTGAGAACCAAGGGAAATAAGGTAGGAATTCTTCTTGAATTTCTGGAGGTTATATTAGTAATTGCTCGAAAAACAGTACCAGGTAAACACTTTGTCATGTGTATAGATGTTTAGAACTTTCAAAAAACTGATCAATATAACTTCTGATTTCAAACTGGTATAGAAGTATGAGTGTACTTCTTCGACAATGTGTAAACAAACATGTAAGCATCTTTATATCTACTTGTCAACTCTGCCTGCCCATAAGAATTTCTGAATAGAGATTTATGTATTTCGACTTGCCGTATAGATATCTACACATAACCACTCTTTCTCCACCCTATATGAATATTCATGAACCATGTGAATTGAATAACTTTGTGAAGCCCGCTGTATAGTCCAATCAGAGAAAGTCGGGGCTTTACAAAGTGAGTCGACATTGAAATAGTTCCATTACCTTTTCTAATGCCGGTTATCTGACAGTTCTCTTCAAACCATTGCAATATAGAAACTAGTAGTTGCTAGTAGTTGCTTTTTGGTAGTGAATAGGATTTTAGTATTCCTTTTCCTTATTTCAGTGACTTTTCTCTGTTTTTCCACGTACCTCAATGTACCATCATTATATACTTTCCCTTCTTGAAAAATAAGACTATCAATTACATGTTTACATATTTGTACAATCACTTCGTCACAGATATTCTAGTTTTATTGGCATTATTTTCTTCTGAATATAAGTGGTAAGATCCAATTCAAAACTCATTCAACGTGATTCATCTCCTAGACATCACTTTTATTTTCATTTTGTTATATCACCATGTTTTATTAACGGTGACGGCGTCGTACGTGGGGGACAGACATTTAGCTGTGGCAACTATCAACCTGTCAGCATCTTCGGAAGATTGGTCTGTGGCTATATTTGACGCTCGCATTCCATTGCAGAGCAGCTTCAAAAGTCGGTCCTCGTTCCTCTCATTGGCCAGGAATTTATCCTGAGGTACGGTGTTGGCAGTAGAAGTTTGACAAAATTCCGGAACATGCGTTTTTTTTATTTTATAAAAAAAGTCATATCACTATCAGTCCTGAAAAAAAATTCGAAATGAGAATTATAGGAAATTTAATCCTCTACAACATTGAATGGAACTCATTTGTAGCTAAAATGCACCAAAACGAAGATACAAGCAAAAATCTCGAGGAAGTGCCGATTTCTTTGGGTTTTTATCAATATGGTGGAAAGCGCGGCGGGGGGGGGGGGGGGGGGGGGGGGGGAAAGTGCATTTTGCATTTGAACACTCAATAACCATCCTAGATAACATATCAAAAATTCAGAACTACCGGACCGTTTGTAAGGTGAACCCCCTCTATGTGACTCTATTCACTGGATTACTTCAACCTTCAACAGAACAGATAATTTGTTAGTTGCGGTGTCAATCCATCTAGGTGCAAGTTCATATTATACCTTAGATGACTGTTTCATGATAACTTGATGAACGTGTTCTCATAAAAGTCGTCGCTTGCTCCCTTCATCACTTCCTATGATTATACAGCGAAATCCGAAACTTTAAATGAAATCTCCGTTTTTGAATTGCACGCAACAAAGCGGCCAATTGGCGTTTTATATTCGAAGGAGTCTCGCCCGGGGCCGGCAAGTTTGCCTCGGTGAATATAGCTTTTCTTAAATTTATATTCTCTGGCCTATATGAAAAGGTAAAGTGAATAAAATGGAAATACATGAATTTATACTGCTTATTGAATTTTCTTGGTCGGGTTTGGCGAACAGTGAATCGACGATGTATAAAACGATCATTGTTGAAAGGATTTAATGCATTATTTTATGTAATCCCTTCCTGTATTGTAGGTAGGTACTTGGTGATCGGTTGTTCAACGAATATGAAATAATGCATATGAAGTTGAATAGAACGTGATGACAATCATCAACTCTCAAATATCAGAACATTTCATATTTTTCTGGGTAAAACAGATTAGGTTAGTGTAACGTAAATACCATAGTTACTATATACATCAGTTGTGACAGTTAATAAAATAAAGATATTGTCAATCATAATTATTATATTTCAAGATAACTTTACATGGTGTCAGAAGTTCTATCGAAAGGGGAGCTTTGAGAAATTGTGGAGATTCATACAAGGTATAATAGTAATATGCCGGATACAGCCGAGATAATTGCGGAAGTATCAGGTGTTGTGGTGTTCGTCCTCCAAAGAATCTAGTTGTAGATCATGAAAATATGTCTCTAACATGGAAAAATTGGATACAACAGTTCGAATGGTATGCCATTGCAACACAACTTTCAAGAAAGCTAGATCTTGTTACATACAAGTTCGGCTGCAATTCTGGGTGAGATCTATCGTTTCGTGGCTCTTCTTCAACAACATTACCACTTTCATGATCTTGAAGAGTAGGTTCTCTTTGGTTGAACTGAGATGGTACATCATCATCATTGAGGGTAACATTCTCACAAGATTTAGGTATTACAACTAAATCGTTTCGATTAGATAAGTTCGTCTTTGTTTTATATGAACTGTACCAGTTTTTCTTCTCACATATTTTCCTTCATCAGTTCGAATAATGATTGATCTTGTATTTCTTCTCTCTTTCACAACCGGTTGCAAGATTTGATGCTTAGTTGGTTATGTGTATTTTTATTTGTATATTGATCCATTTCTGTACCATTATACGGGGGATGTAACGTAAATACCATAGTTACTATATACATCAGTTGTGACAGTTAATAAAATAAAGATATTGTCAATCATAATTATTCAAGATAACTTTACAGTTAGGTCGTTTCTATATAAGAAAAGATCGCCTATATACTACTTCCATGCCTGGATATTTTTCGGTCCAACTGAAAGCAAATTAGATGAAAATTATTTTAATTGCGTATTTCGGAGGCAAGACTATATATGACGGTGGTAGCAGCTCAGCGAGAGAATGCATTCTAGAACACTCATGTTCATAAGAATATAAATGTTGCTCCGTCATTTGAGGAAACATAATATAGCTGTTAATTCGACATACTCCTTCTTTGTCGTCGATACTTATGAAATATGTGTGATTGAATCAGTGTCTTCATCACTTTTGAAAAGCAAATAACAATTTCCTATTTGAATTCCAATGATCTCATACCTATATATCCTCATATATATTTTGAATGAACATAAAATCGAAAATTTCGAATTTAAGAACAAAATATATGAATTAATGATGACATGAAGCACAATTGTAAAACATCATACAAAGGGTGTCACAAAATCCTCGCCACGCAAGATTTGAATTTGGCATCATCTGCACGGTTAATGTGCATTCTTGTGTAAAAAAAAATCAGGGTGATAGCAGACAGTTCAAGGTTATCAAAAATGAAGCACTTCACGATGGAAGAACAACACGTTTCTATTGAGCGAATTTTAAAAATAATGAGTTTGGCAGCTACTTGTGTTTTTCGATGGTTGATGGGCCTTTGGATGTCTCGACCTTCGATAGGTCAGACGAGTACACCCAGGGTCATTTTCTAATCATTATACTGGTTGGTATGGCATAGCAGAGACCGTTATTCGATTTTTTTTACCAAACATATATATTCATAATTTAATTTTATGATTACTGGAAAGATTACCCATGATAAATTGACGTGACTGTTAGGCAAACCGTATTATAATATTAGCAGGGGAGCAATTTGGGGTCGAAATATACAGCAACCATAGGCGAGTTTTTGGTGAGCATATAAATACATGTCACATCGCGTGTTCTACCGACAGCAATCTTCGACTGTTTAGTCGGTAATAAAATTAATTTATCTTATATTATACAGGGCCAGCGATCTTGTTGTAAACCAACACACAGCTCAAATTATTACGACTGTTCAGCAGGGTCGTATTTCGGAGGGTATTAAAGGAAACTTGAGAAGAGATAGTGGATTCATGATTTCAGCAACTATAACCTCGCCAGTATACGGGGTGCTTTGTTAATGTCACGCAATGTTGGAGCAAGTTACTCCTCAACTCATTTTATGACTGAAATAAGTGTTCTAACTTGGTTCATTTTCGAAGAGGGATATCCTATAATGTTCAGAAAATATCGTAAGAACCAAAGGAAATAAGGTAGGAATTGGTGTTCTCCTTAAATTTCTGGAGGTTATATGCCTCGGGGAACACCTTCCTTGGCAATGTGTTCCGGAGCCTCGCTGTTCGTTGGATGAACGAGTCTTTGGTAAAAGATGTTCTGCAGGTCTCCAAAACCAAGTTTTCGGGATGCACTTTTAGCAATTGATCTCACGTGATTTTCCCAAGAAATATTATTGCTGATAGTAATACCAAGCATCGAAATGGATGTCTTCAAAGGTATGGTTACTCCTGAAAAGCTTATGTTGGGCACAGTGAGATCGACTTTTCTAGAGAAAAGGCATGCTTTTGTTTTGTTTGCATTGGATTCTACCAAGATATTGGATCCCCATTCGAGAATTGTTGCCAAGTCCATATTTATGTTGTCAACATTTCTCCCTCGTTCTTTGCCTGGCTGGTATTGTAGCCCTGAAAGAGAAGGCGGTATGGAGGGTACTATCATCCGCGAAGCTGTGTTCTGGACATGAAGTTGCTTCTAACAAATCGTTGATGAGGAGTAGAAATAGTGTTGGTGCTAGAATTGATCCTTGCAGAACACCAACATTTATGATAAAAGAGTCAGATGAAACTCCGTCGACCACTACATGGAGATATACCTGTTTGAGAGGAAACTAGCTAACAGAGAACATAGCTGGGGAGGCAAGCCATAAGATGGAAGCTTGGCGAGAAGTCCGTGTTGCCAGACTCGATCGAATGCCTTGGAGATATCAAGTGCTACGGCTAAGGTTCCACCATATTTTTCAAAAGATTGCTGCCATATATGTGAGACGACGTAAGCGAGCTGGTCAACAGTTGATCTCTGATGACGGAAGCCATATTGCCTATCGTTGATGATACCTGAATATTCCAGGTATTGAATGAGATCGATGTTGATTGCTTTCTCCATGATCTTTGAAATAATAGATAGCAGTGCAATTTTTCAGTTGGACGGGAATATCCCCAATCTGTGAGAGTAGTTGAACAACTTGCAGAGAACAGGTGTTAGTTCGGAAGCACATATCTTGAGAACAATCGGTGGGATTCCGTCGGAGCCACAAGCTTTGTATTATAGAAAAAGTCATTGCGATGTTCAATCCTGGTGTTATCATCAGTTTGCATCTCTATGTGAGTGTAACATTAGCTATTTATATTTGTATCTAAAAGTATGTAGCGAGTGTCGGCGGGATGAAAGCGAAATAAAAGTAATTTGATTGCTACCTACCAAATGTTGGTGAATAAAGCTCTACGCAAGGGCAAATTTCGTAGAATAGACCATGAAACGGTAAGTTATCCAGTGATTTTTTCATTCGGTTGGACGGAAGAATGTTGAACGAAAAAACGACATCATTATGACGTCTTCTTAGGTCACTGTGCTACCTGGGTATCTGATAGGTACCTATTCACCATACCTATATTTCAAACCTGTCCACAAATTCAGTTAAACCGCACTATATAGATTAGATTCTCAAATTCATTTTTTATGTGTGAATCAATAATTATGGAAAATTTTCACTTTTGTACACTGGAAAGACTAAATCATTTACATTCCTTCGCAAACTACCTATGAAGTGGATTAAGATTTTATTGCAAATTCTGGAGACAATATCAGAAGAGCTCAATAGGTTTAGTTCACGAATGACAAAAAGTTGACTCTGCTGGGACGTCTTTATGACCTCCAATTATATACGTCTATATGACGTCATGAAACATGCCGTCATTTTTTGGTCTCTTTGCAGTCGAAGACGTCATGGACTTGAAAAAGGCGGCATTTTGACGTCATTTCACTAATCTGTGCTATACCTGATGGGTATAGCTGTGAGAGCATCAGGCATGGTTCAAACACGTGGGCACGGGCCTGTGCTTGTGAACTGTTAAAGCGGCATGCAAGGGTAGTTCCGAGGGTAGTTGGCATAATTAATGCGATCACGAAGACTGGCACGGGGTAAGAAAAGGCTAGTGCCGAGCGTGATTGCTAATAAATGGCAGGAAATAAGGGTCCTCGTGCGTCTCAGCCGCTGATAAAATAATTCCGAATGTCGTGTCTAATAACGGCGTTAGCGCAGTCACGCCAACAACCAACGAAACGCGCGTCTCTTAATCAAGGTCATAAACTTGGTTTTCTTGTAGCCAGATGGACCTGTTGTTCATCAGTTTCTATTGCTTTGAAGTATAGCGATAAACAAAAAAAATTACAATTGTCACTGATTGCTATTCAGAATAAGTTAAACATTGTTGAATGGAAGAACAAGAACTCTGCCTTCTGACATATTATCAACTTCATTATATAGTAAGTATTATTATGTACCTACATATTTCTATCATGGTTAGTGTCAATAAAATCGAAATTATTACTCAAATTATTGTTATTTGGGTCCTCATCTTCATAATAATACTCAACCATGGACAAGACCTACTAGATATATAGATAGGACAGAGGGCACTATAGCGATCTAAATCACATCATTATAACGTCCCCAATCTGCCCAATCGGCATGAAATAATTTGAATTGGAGAGAAAGAGATATATAATACTGGTGATTCATTTGGAATGCTATTGGTTGTACTTGAAGTATTTTCGTGGCTCTTCCAGCAAGAGAAGTTTCTATCGGAACCAGCTTTTATATAAGGTGTAATGGTCTGTCGTCTGTCAGCTTCTACAAACTGAGTTCGTGAGGAGGACTAGGTACAGCAACTGTGAATATTGACACATAAAAAGGTACCTATACTCAGAGTATATCATCATGAGATCAAAACTTCTCCAATCACGGAGTGTTTAGGCTTTAATTGCATCCACTTAAAATCCATCATGCTGATGCAACCAAATGAGATCATTAACTACGGCGTTTGAAGTATCGTCAATAGACAGTTAGACGCACGCGTTTTTAAAATGATATTTTCTGTTTCTATCATCATGTGGACTATATACCTACCTTATTTCCTAGATATAACAGTGAACTTACAGTCAGAGGAAAAACGTTGTATATATTAGAGAAAACAATGATGTTCGAATACGGCTAAATTCGCCAACAAAAATTGTATGCAGATATTATAACATTGATTGATGGGTCAAAATGAAGAAGCATACCTTCGTAAATAATCTGAGAGAAAATGTCGGTTGAAGGTTACATCCGGTCCGAATATATGCCGCCCTTTGGGACCGACCTAGATGTATACAAATCGGCTAACGCTCTGTTAATTTAGCGAGGTGTGACTAAATTCGAATACATTGAAGAGCTACTATGATAAAATTTTCAGAATTGCTATCAACAGGAAGTTAGGGAGCCGGGTTAGGGGCCACGTGGAAAAAGCGTTAATTTTCTAATTGCGATGGCTATCGGTCGTGGGTTCAATTCCAAACGACTGCAGGAAATTTTCTGGTGGCCCAACAAAGTGTTTTTTGATGACACGTTAAAAGGTAAGGCCCCCGTCATTCTTTGCTCGCACGAGCCTCTTGAAGACTTCTGAGGGTTGGTCGTAAGGAAATGGGGGCAACCGAATAACCGATAGAAAAATTTCAGAAATTATTGTTTTGAAGGGGCGACAGGGTATCGATCCAACAAACAACTTCTTTCCCAGTAATCTAACTCGATCTGCATGTCCCTTGAAGGGCATACCTTCGTATAGATAATCGACATGGGAGAAAGAAAGCTGCTTGTGAGAAATTGTGAGAACTGGGAACAAACATTTAGACAAAATCATAAAGCATTCATCCAAACATTAAATAATTGGAGAAACAGGAAATTAGTGGCCAGGTAGCCGTGCGGACAGAGTGTCTATATTCTAATTCGCATTCGCTTGCCGGTCGTGGGTTCGATCCCCGTCGACTGCAGAAATTTTTCTGATGGCCCCAGAAAGTGTTTGGGATCACACGTTAAAAGGTAAGGCCCCCGTCATTCCTTGCTCGCACAAGACTTTCGAAGACTTTTGAGGGTTGCTCGTAAGGGGGCAACCGAATGACAATTAGAACAAATTTTAGAAATTTTTCAGTACCTACTTGGAATAATTTTTCGTTTCCATCAGGGGTGCGAAAAGTCATGCATGCATGGTTATACACTCGAACCTGAAATTACAATTTCAAAACATCCAGTATATTAATTCATCATCAATCACCATTCTTGTCGAAAGAGAATACTAATCTATGTCCTCGCTCCCCTCAAAACACTCATTATATACGAAATCCTTGACCGCTCTTGATTAGGGTAAGGGTTAAACGCCGGTCGAGCTGCATCTTGTGTCGGGAGATTAACGAACACGATGATTGATAGATTGATTGTACGTCGCCAGATGGCGGATGACTTGCAGCGGAAGTGCGCCTGCACTTGACACTTCCTGCTTGCTCCCTATGAAGCGGCGCGGAGCGGTTTGGAGGTTGGAGCTTGGAGCTCCATCAGAAGGTCCATCAATCCCCCCTTTCGCCCCCCTTTCGTGGGGGCGAGTCCTCGCTCCCCTCCTAATTGTGTTTATGCCTCTAAAGTGCTTTCCGTCCTCAAATGCAAATTTTAACCTTGTTAAGCCACGGCCTAGCGAGTTTAAATTATCAATGGTTAATTAATCTTCAATTTATTCACTTTGTATAATGAATTTAACACTCAATTTGGCGGTTATTAATCAAAGTTTTAATGAAGGTTGCTATAAACACTGATCAGCGAGTTTACGAGAGACAAGCTATTCCTTGTACGACTGTAATTCTCGCTTGATGAAGTAATATTATGTGGAGGAATATGGTAATCAAGCTGTTTGAGTTTGGATTAGGTTGTTTTGATATTTAATTAATCATTAAATGTCTGTTGAAGCCGAAGGAGAAGTGATTTTTGTGCGTTGATCTTGCCTTGTTTATTACATAGTTTTTGTTTGGGCGAATGTAACTC